ATATATATATATATATATATATATATATATAGAAACAGTGGAGGATTCTGATCTTGAAGTGAAAGAGACTGGAGGATTCAACCCAAGAGTAACTGTACTTAATGTCAAAAAAAATTGCACAGCACATCTTTAATTGCTCACAGCAAACGTCAAAAGGAAAGGAAACTTCTATCATATTTTTCACAGTAACCACAACTAAAACATTTTAGGTGGTTTTTGGCCATTTTCTATGCTTCTCGTATTTAATCAGAAGCAAAGGAAGAAGCAGTCTTACCTCTTCCACAAAATCGTTAGGAAGGAAGGAAATGTAGATTCGAAATCAAAGTTTCCTCTCTGGATCTATTCCAATTAGAGCAGCATATTGTTTATTGCAGTATTTTGGTTTTTTCTTTACTACATAACGAACTTTCTCCTTTGATGTTGGGACTTACAATAAAAAGGATATTTAGCGACCGTTATTCAAAATGAGAGGCATATTATTAGTTGCAGCTTAAAACATTCACTTCGCATCCCTTTCTCATTGCTGAACAGTCGAAAAGTACTACGATTCTTTTCTAGAGAAAGTGTTCACCAATTAGTCGTTAATGGTTTTAAAGTTGAAAGATTGTGCAAAGTACGAAGAATAGTTGGACTTTCATTAGTCAATAATTGATTTTATATTGAGTATCTAGAGCAATTTGAAATAGGGAGCAATAAATAACACTAGTTTCAGCTATAATGCTTAAAATTCTGACTTATTACAACCCGCTGTTTTTGCTGTACTTCGGCACGTTCGCGCCAGTGCGAACCCCGATGGGGTCGTCGGAGAGTCATTCAAAAGGGTATAAAAAGGGCTACAAAGCAATGTCTCTGAATTTACTCCAAATCGAAATAATCCCTGGTATGCCCGGACAATTCACACCATCTCAGCACCACCTTCAGCCCTCTATGCTGTTTCCCTTCCAGTCCGAAGCAAAAAGCTTATCTCTGATCCCTCAGTACGTTGAGAATGCCCATTGAACGGTCAACCGTTGGTTCTGAAACTGATAGCGATTTGGCATTAAAGATGACGACAGCTCCGGTCGCCCCATGGAACCCGAATTGGATTTGCTGCAGATGTGATGAAAGCGGACCAGTTCCAAACTATGCGCAATTTTGCGTGAAGTCTTGGTGTGAATCCATCGACTGTAGTCCGTGCACTTAAATCAATTGACAAATCCAGAAGTGTAGCCGTTGTGTACCCCGCCCCCTAACACAGCGTGACAATTATCGTCGGACTGACATGGCACTTTCCCTCCTCATGTTCTGGCGTACGCCTGGCTGGATCGAACTCATTTTCTCTGGGAATGAAAAGTGGGTACTTTAACCCACCACCGATATCATTTTGTCGGCTCATATGGAGAGGTTAGTTGTTGTGATCGCAGACGTTTACATTCATCGAAGAAGTTAAAGTCAAATATTGAATTTGCACATGGATCCCAAGCCAATATGTACTTTCAGCACGACATCAGAGCACACATCGCAAGAATGACGAACACAGAGCTGGCAAATTACGGATGGACCGTTGTACCACTCAACCGTGCTCTCCCGATCTCGCTCCAGCGGATTACCACCTCTTTTCTTATCTTCAACGTCATTTAGACGGTCAAGACTTCGACAACTACGACGACATCAAGAACGCTCCAGGCTTTCTTCGACTACCTGCTCGCAACCTTGTGGAAGGCATGCATAACCTACGAAGACCTTTGATGTCAATGGAGATTATCTCAAATGATTGCCTGTGCTCGTTTTAGAATTGTGCGAGAAAAATTGAGAAGCCCAGTGGGTCAAGACTTACGCATCGACCGTATATTTTTTATGAAACGAAATTTCATAACATTTTTCAAGAAGTCGTTCAGCAGATGTGGAGCTAGAATTGAAATGTTATAAGACGTTCTATTATTACGCCCTCATTTTGAAATCCGCGATCAATAAGTATCCTTCCCTTGCTAGCAACGCAACGCGCTTGATTTCATGAACGCATTTTTGGTTAGTTCTCACAGTTTTTACAACTTCTTGGGCTGAGGGCTTCTCTTTACGGCGAAAGTGCAGTCATTTTTAGTTGTCCTAAATCTCTTATGATCTCCTTCACAAAATGTAGGAAAAAATAGTGGAACATCATTCCAATTGAGAACACTCATTGGTGTGGTTTTTTTTCTGGTTTCATTTTGTTGTACCATCTTTCGTCTGTATTCTTTGAAGATTTACCCGTTTCGACTTACCCTTTGCATGTATGCATGTCTCCTCTGCTTGGTCACATAAAACGGTCAAGATCACTAAATTCCTTTATTTTTCTTCTTCCTTTTTGAGCAAAAAAAATTTCCAATAAACAATATATTATAAAAGTAATCAAAAATCTTTAGCTTTTTCAATAACTTTGATAGAGACTGGGATTGGTCTCCTGGCTGCTGAGTTATCTACGATCACTTGGTGGTCTGTTAAAATTCAAAAGCGTGATTATGTCGAAAAGTTTTGCATTACTTTTGCTTAGCTTTTTTCCTTGCTCCATCGAACTAAGCCTTTATGCGCCGCATCGAAACATATACAGATTGCAATCACAT